TAATAGCTTTGCAATTACTTTCAAATCCATGATTACTTGTGAAACTTTAGACAAATGTTCGAAACCTCAGTCTCAATCCGAACGCAGGGATAAGTAGAGGCTTTTCAAAATCAATTCCCGCAGTTGACCCACTGAATTAATTGCATCCTCACTGAACATGTTTTCACTTTTCCCTTCCAAATTTCATACCCGCAGAAAGGTTAGATGGTTCCCAGGGTGCAAACATTGCTTTCGTTCTCGTCATAAATCCAGAGAATCAGTGCCAGCATCACAAAAGTACAGAGCATTCACTTAGATGAAATCCATGAGATTAGAGGAAAATCGTGTCGGAATCAAACTACGGGTCCCACAGGGAATTCCTTCATTTCGACAAAAACGGTACAAGGCTATTCAGTTGATAGTAATTCAGTTCCACAGCGGCGTCTTTTATGGGACTTTTTCATCCGTCATCTTTATCCCAAGGAAAGTGTTCGAGAAGACAGAGCAATGTAAAATAAGGCTGACATGAATAAATTTCATTGACCAGTTGGTAATGAGGAAGTTTATCACGTGAAAAAGAGATTCAATGTTCGTGAAAAAAAATCACTGAATTCAGTTGAGAAATGGAGCGAAGAACAATTCAAATGAGGTAACCTATTGCGTTAGGAGCTGAGGCAAAACGCAGACTTGCGCCAATCGAGTCAAGAGGAAATGAGGAACAGGAGCATTAACTCTATTCTTATGAATAGTTCACTTTACATTACTAGATGGTTTTGCATTGGAGCAGGTATCCTGCCTATAGTTGCTGGGTGATTTATTTTGAACCTAGCAGACAACCTCCTTCTCTAGTCGACTGCAGTCAGACCGTCAAAATGCAAACTTGATATCGAACGCTCCATGGGCAAGGAACAGCTTACAAAGGGGACATATTGGGTCTAGTACGACCACCCCCCCCTCATCGATCTGCCAAAAAATATGTGATGCACAGAGAACCCGTCTCAACTTCCGAGAACAAAAATGTGGTTTTTAAGTGGGTCGAGAGCAAACTAGCAACAAATCGCCACCTGAAAAAAATACCGGACGAGTTCCTCAAACAGCAGTTGGGCTTCCCAGAGCTACATCATCTAGGAGAAGATATCACGTAAATGGGCCACCCCCCGACATGTGCAGGTTGCCCAAACGTTACAATATCTTTGAAACAGATGAGCAATAGCCTTGATAAGTGCAGGCTTCACCTAGGAAGCGTTTTTGTGTTTCTAATTTCAAACGGCAGAAATGGAACATAGACATTCATTGAGGGGGGGGGGGTCTAAAAATCTCTACTTCTCTTGATTTCTATGTAACGCGTTTGCCGTCAAACCCACTCAGTACAGCTTCCCAAAGAGAAGAATTGAAATAGCTATTACTCTAGCGTTTTGAAGGGTCCTTACTTGGTCCAGGGTAGCCCATATACGCAGCCATTTTCTCCCAAATAATCAAACTCCATCGTATGGGGAAATTAATTCGCTAAACCGCGCTTCATGAAAGTGACGCGCATTAAATTCCTAGCCCGCTCGGTGATACGAGTTTAGCAGTAGGTGCAAAGAGAAGAAACCAGGTCATGAGGAGAATTTCCCAGTTATTCGCTACTGATTTACCTAGAGAAATAGAGTGATTGACGCTGAGGGAAAAATTTCGTGAATGGAAAAAAACACGCACGGGTTTCAACCAGGGTGCGTTAGAAAACTTCAAAAGTTTCTCTCAAAAATGCGACCCCCTAATTCGTCGACGCCCCCCGCTAGCCTTGAGATGGGGAAGACTTCCGACCAACTATCAGAACTGGCAAACATGCAGAAGTAATGAAGTGGAAAATTTTCCCCAGGTTGAAGGTGATCTTCTGCCTCATGAATACCCAAATACGACTCCCATTTGGTGTGGATTCCACAACGATGATGAGACCTGCCGTTTATGTCCCCTAATTGTGCCCCACTTATGGAGAAGAGGGCGATTCGGGGTCCACTCTAACAAAAAAGCACATGAGTGAGATGACATTCTAGCGACAGCGCTTGGGTCGGTCCAGTTGCTCGGAGCAGGTGCGCTAATGCACGTAGGTGGGTGGAGATTGGCGGGTGGGGGGAGACAACTAAAGGAATCAGGTACCTAGGTAGCCTTATTCTAAACGAAGAAATATTTAAGCTGAAGGGGTTGCATAAAATAATGGTGGACATCACTTTCCGCTTTGTGGGTAAATAGTGTAAAAGTAGGTAATCAGGATCGGTACCATTACAGAATAGGTATATCTGGGAATACTGATAGCACGAATTTAGCCCTTTCAACCTTTTGAAAAAGTCAAATCCCTAAAAAGTCAGTTCATAAGGATTGCTGAAACTTCGAGAACAGTTTCAAGCAAAATATTGTCAGAGGGCGAAAATGCTGATCATTGAGGTTTATTGAGGGTCAGGAATGGTGGCTGTGATCATAGAGCTTGATGTTCATTAATCAGGAAAGATTACTTTGTTTTCTGCAATTCCCGTTATCTGCCCGTTTCATGAAACCAATTTTGGAGGCATTTTTGGAAGTTCGCCATATGTGAAAAATCTTCGGAGAGGATCAGCAAATAGTTGAAGTCTTGGTATTTCTAGATAATAGAAAGTGAAAATGCAGACATAATGACCTGATAAGTGAATAGGGACCAGGATCGCCCGAACTCGTTAGGAGCACGTATTTCTCCAACCCCATTCGGAAAAAAAACCGTCCGTTCCCACTGGTTCAAATTTGGAGCATGATTGACTCATAGTCAGATATAATATTCCGAGAAATTTGGTCCATTGGGATCAGGAAAGTGAGCCCCATATTTCGGGCGCCACTGGTCACAAGATGGGGTTTTCGGTGAGAAACTTTTTAATACTGGCTTTCACCCGAAATCTTCTCGTTTGAGACGTTCCCCTTAACAAAATGTGCTAAAAAACCATACAAGCCTCGTGCTTTTAGTCTGGAGAGGATGAAGGGGAGAAAATTAGCATAGATACCGCAGCTTCGGCGATGGTTACGCGCACCGCCCGCCGGCTCTTGGGTGGCGTGAGGGGGCTGTAAAAGGGGGAGATTTGAAACCTTACATATTCCAATCATTGTCAGGAGCAAATCCAACTTGAAAAAACCTTCTTATAGTTCCCGGTTACTGGATGTTTATGGTCCAGGGGACGATGTGACCTTGTCCTATTGTGGGGAAAATCCCCAAAAGAATTTGGCCCCCATGCCGATGCTACTCTGGTACGGCGCTTCTTGTTGAGCACTGCACTGTCATGCGGTCTCGATGAACGTTCAGAAATTGGTAGCAAAAAAATCGCGAGCGAACAATGCGAGTGGCGGCGAACATGACCTTATCTCTGAATCCTTTTATTTTTCCCTCGCAACTGTATTATGATATTCGAAAAAGAGTTATCATTCAGAATTGGAGGGGCTTGGCTGAAACTTATAACCATAATCAACACCCCCTGTGAAGTAGACACTACCATAAGCCGATGTCCTCATGTAGGTGAATTTCCGATGCGAATCTTCGATGTTCAGCACGAACTAGGCTTCGAATGCTTTTTCGTGCTCATTCAGTTGAGGACGTTTGGCCCAAGTTCGACATCCAGAAACCTTATGACCCATGAGGTTTAGCGTCTGTTAGGCTCAGAACATCACCTTCTTTGCTCTCACTCGTACCCGCAGGTATACGAATCTCTCAAGTGCCATTCACGAACCAAGAACAAACAATAAAGTTCGCCAAGCGCCGCAGCGGAGGAAGTTTTTAGCTTTTTCCCTATTGATTTACAACAAGACGGAAGTGACGCTGCTTGATGAAGGCCGCTAACAAGACCGCTTCAACTTCGCTTCGCTATTACTATGCTGCAGCACGATCCATTCGTTCATCCTTCCCTACGTCAACGGGAAGCCCATTATACACCAATGCGAGCTTGAGTGTGGCAATCATCGGAACGTGGCTGGCAGTTAACTTGTCGTCACTTCACGGACTTCTAGGAAAGCATTGGCGGCAACTTTAGACTATTCAAATTTGCATTCTGTTCTTTGGCGATTAAGACGATGGATCCGGAACATTGTGAGTTTCTGGCTGAAGATGAACAATGATCCAAGTAGATGTAATAAGTATCCAGTTTGTATTCATTATGGCTAATTATTTATGGCTTTAGACTATCATGTTTGAGTTTCTCGCGCCAGATCACCGCCAGATACATGGTTCTTATGTCACTTCAATTTTTTTTTGTACTTATATCGGGCCGTTGTCCCAATTAAAAAGACCCGCATGTAAATTGTGAATGTTAAAAAAGGTATGGTCGCCGCGATTACAGATCGGCACGCAGATTGCTTCAATACTAGGCGCTTGCGCAAGAACCTGGCGTGCGCGGTGTGAAAACGAAGCTATATTAATGGCCAGATAGTGTTAGTTTAGTTTGTAAGCAAACCATAGGTCAAGGTTCTTCACTTAGTGCTAGTCTACTACACGATTCCAATGAACGGAGGGTGAGGGGGAGGGAGCGAAACATTTGTTCGCTACCAAGTTTCCCGCGCCACATATCGCACACGGTCTGGTTGATACGTGTGTTCGCCTCAATCTTCATTGGAACGAGTGTAGTTGACCCTGACGAGTGACATGTATGATACTAAGCAAAGGGACACACGCCGGTGGGAAGTGATAGAACAGCCATCATGGTGAAACAAAAGCAGCAAAGTGCAGACTTATGTTGCGGATGCTCGCGAGTCAGGAGGGCCGGGTTTGGCAGTGGACCAACCTGTGCTCCACCAGTTTCTAGAGAGGGCAAGCGACAACAATCGGTGAAGGTTAAGCTGGCGCCACGCTGAACCCAGTCCCCCTGACGCGCTGTAAAACAAGGAACAAGACTAAATCCACGAATAATGCTGTTTAATTTCTGTGTGAAAGCAAGGCGAAGCTTCCAGTTGTGCCTCAAATTCTGATAAACTATGTAAACTGTTGCAGCTTTCCGTTACTCTGTCTGGCATACATCTATTCCTTTCCAGATTATACCCCGAAGGAACGAGCCGGTTCTGCACTTGGTTTGCGGGGATGTCGGTCCACTCGAAGCTGGAGTGCCTGTGAAAGTTCCACTTTGGTTAGCAGTCGATCTCAGAAGGAAACAGCAGTGTGAAATAGTGGTTAGTTGTCTGTTCCTAACTAATCACTCTGTTTCCTTGTATTTTCCGTTTACTTATCTTTTTTTCTATTATTGGATGATGTTTTTAGATTTGCAAGGTAATTCTCTCAAAAGGGAGATCAAGCGCCAAAAAACTCTAGTCCAGAACTCAGCCTTATGCTACCTCAAAAAGGGCATCTTAGTCTACTGCGCTATATTCTTTACATTTTATTATATATATCTCTCTTAGTTAATAGGGTTGTTTAGGCAGCGTTCAGACTTCGCGACGGCATCGCGAAGTCTGAACACTGCCTTAGAGTGGAAGTGGGTTAAAGTTTTGAGAATGTCTCGCGATCCTACTTGTCCCAGCCTACTCCTCAAGTGAATTGTTCTGACGTTGCCTTGTTCTGATCAAAATTCTTTGCAAAGGATAGATTTCACTAAAGTTAATGTCTGAAGTAGTCCGACCGGCTCACGAATTTGACAAAGCAAGAGCCCCTTTGACTCCACCCAAACCCGCTTTGACACCAACGCTCGTAGCTCACAAGGCATTTTTTCGTGGATTTGATGTTCGTAGTCAAAGGAACAAATCGTCACTTGGGACAAGTTTTTTAGTGAAATTCGATATCCTTGAGTGTCTTGGTGCTGACCCTTGTAGCGCGAACAGTTGCGAGCCTTGTGATGTGATTTCTACGTTCGAGGAGAGCAGCCTTACCATTAGGAACGAAAACCAGAAGGAATCAATCCACGCAGAATATTTCGATCATAATCTGACCCAGGTTTCGAAGTTTTTTCCGTCATGAAAGTAGCCTCGTGCAAATTTCCTAGCTTGTGGATCCCATTCACCCTATTTTTCAAGTGTCACACCATTAGCAATCAGTATGGCAGACGTGCGGCGGTGTTCATCTTCTGAAAATACAATTAGCATCGCCATTATCATAGAGGCTGATCTTTAATACCAATTTCAGCCGCCTTATTGGTTTTGTCTTGATGAGCTGAAGCGTCTCGTTGCAACAGAAGGTGAAACTGCTGGTCTTTCTCGGCTTCCACCATATATATTTGAAATCTCCCATATTCTCGTCAGGGCAGCCAAGGAAGACATAGTTGATGGTGATCAGGTTGGAGTTGTGTTGTTGTTAAAATTACCAAGGGTGGTACTTTTTGGTTCCCTTCATACTACGATTTTGAGGCTTCCCCTCACATCCCTGAATTTTTTTGTAAATTGTTTTCTTTCCAGATAAAAGTTTTGATTACATGATTGTCGGGACAAAAACGCCGAAGCGAAGTACGAACGTTCGTCGTTAAAGTTCGCTCTCACACAGGTATCCACCTTTTTGAAGATAAATTTTTTAAGAATAGGATTGTTATTTCCCACTGCTTCTGCAACTCCACAGTGGGCATTAATATCGAACGATGCACACTATTTAATATTACCTTTTCTTCGTGTGAGCTAAAATGTGAAACACGACACTTTTTGGCGCGGGAGAAAGGGGAAGAGGGGGCATTTGCCCGAATTTTGAAATATTGTGAAAGCCATGACAGTGATGGCCAGGTCAAATTTTCAGCTAGAAAACTAACGCGACAGCTCGTGTCAGGATTGCTGCCCGCTCTTGTAAAGTAATGAACACGACAATGGGAAGCAGCGAAAGTTCAGAAGGCCTGCTGAAGCCGAACAATGCGACTAAAAAGCTTAGAAGGCTGCAAGAGTTGTCTACAATTGAGCGCATAGGTTTGCCTTTTCGTCCTTGAACAGAGAGTACATGAAAAACCTGGTATACCACGGGTGTGCCTAACAAAGGGCCTTTAGTATCATGAGTGCTTTTGAAAATGTTTCTTGTTTCATCTAGTAGGGAAAAGTGTGTGTCATTTTGCTGCCACGACTTTTGGGAAAACGCTGAAAAAAGTAATAACAATTGACTTTACTGCAGTCACCTATTACAACCTCAAAAGTCTACCATTTCTGCAAGAAGTGGAAGCGGAGTGTGTAAGCTGGCGCTATGTTACTGGAAAAGGAGAAGCCAATTAATGTGGGAAGTAGTTTAACACATTCCGGACCGACGCCTATTTCGCGTGGCATTCACGTGTGACCGCGGCCTTTTTCGATGCGAGGCTGGCGTGACACACATGGTGTGTCATGCGGACCTACACCGCGGCAGGTATGCTAAGGCGCCCCAGTTTCTCTTGATCGATTCTTCAAACTGAAAAAATTGATTACTTACGAACTGACCGAAAAACTGCATTTGGGGGTTCTTTCATATATATGCCAATCTCGAATATGACATTCATTTTTGGCGCTGGCGCCACCGGGCGCTTATTTGGCGTCACGATCGTTCTCTACAAAATTGACAACGTTAAGCTTTGCATTTGGAGGCCATTCAGGAATCACGTGCACGGATATGACATTTGCTCCTCGCGCTGGCGCCATTTGGCGCCAACGGGCGCCAGTTTGCAGCGACTCTCTTGAAGAATGTCACGTACTTTTCATTGGTTTTGGTTCTAAATAACAAAACTTTCTGCTGCAAATTGAACAGTTCGCTGCGTGGAGAAAGATTCTCCGCCGCAAAGTATGAACACATCACATCTGATTTCATTAGAGCGAAACACGAATATTACATATGCATTTATTCTAGTTCGTAAGCTTACATTGTTTCGGTGAAGGAATGTCACAGCGCTAAAAACTGGGCATCTGCTGGCGTCGTCGTGGATCACCATTGAAGATACTCGGAATTAACCCGCTAACCTCCAACATGCATTTTATATCGGCTTGGAGATGCCATAAACGCCGTAACATGCGCAAATAAGCGCAGCTTCAAGAACGAATCTCATTTTGTTATCAAAATCCTGATCATCCCTCAAACGCATGTTTCCTCAATTGGATATGGTGCAAAAGGCCGCAGCGCCAAACTGGCGCCCAGTAGCGCCAAATGAAGCGGACGTTAAGTGGGGGGCGTCTTTTTTTTTTTTTTTACTGCCGAAAAATCATGTTCGCGACCAGTGAGTGGCCGTTCAGTAGATCTGTCTCTCTGCGATTTGTTTTTATGTCGGGATGCATTTATAGAGAATGATGGTCTTATGAATCGGTCACACTTCAAAAAAATATTTTCGAATAAACTATCGGAGCTTTTCATGGCCCAACCCATACACAGGAATTCGTACCCCTACAAAAATATATAACAACCCAGAGAATTTTTGCAGCAGTCAAAACATAGGAAAATTTCAGCCTCTGAAGATCGTGACACACCATGTGTGTCACGATCCCACAGGGAGTAGACAAGTGTGACACACCATGTGTGTCACGCGGTCCGGAATGTGTCGAAAGCGGAGGTTCGCAAATTACATTTTGCTTTGCTGGCAGTAATCCATCGTGCTGTCTCCCACACCGTTCCAGCACTGGTGGTACCTAGAACATTCAAGTCACTGCTTTGCTCTTTTCACTGATTCCTTATGAAGAGCCATTTATAACTGTAATTGGCACTGGTTTTGATGTACACTTAAAATGCCTTCCTATGTTGTACGTAGGGATAGCTAAAGTGATGAAGGCTTTCTTTTGCAGTTGCTCAAATGACCCTCCCATTATTTTCTCACTCCATTTTGGCATACCCAGAAGCGCAATGAAGACGGGCTTCAGTTTTGCTGTCCCTGCACGTGCTCCTACAAGAAGCAGAAAAATCAGACCGTTCAGAAATAGCCTTCCATGACCTGAAGGACTCTTCGAGTAGCCACATCTAATTTTACTTGTAATCACTCCTCTACACCCCTCTTCTTATTTGCCTGGTAGTTTGAAGAAGTCACAGCCATTTCAATCTTGTTTTGCTGCGGATGCTGGCGCGTATAAGGGGGCCGGCTTCGGTGCGGGTACGTTTTCCACAATTTGCTGAAGCGGTAAACCGACAATAGTCGTTGTAAGAGAGGCTTGCGCTGCCAGACGCAGCCCCCTGCACATGCCCAGCATTTTTAACAAACAGAACGTTATTCGCGACGTAATCTCATACCGTAATTGCTTGTCGACTCAAGAATGGCCGTTACTGCGCGCGTCTTAGTATCTTCGTCACTCTTTTCCAAGCTAATCATCCAGCGCAAAAAACTAAGCATGAAGGGGATAGAGAACTACATGCTCTTACCTAACCTTCATGTTGTTCCTTCATTTCCCCCCGTCCCGTTTTTATCTTTGTCGCCTCGAGGGGCGGCTCTCTGAAGCGGCGGCAATTGAAATGGAACCGGATATTACGGCGAATGCTCCTAGCTACACCAGTGTACTCCTCATTGCGCGATCTGCATTATGCGAAGTCATGTACGTCGCTGGAGGGACCAGCGATTCGTACCTCCGACTTGGAGATTTTTTTTCTCACTTTTTGATTTTTTTCCTTTTCTCGCGCGTCTTACCCTTCATAGTTGGTGGCAGGCAGAACTTCCATCACTGATAGTTGGTCGGATGAGACTACCCTTTTCCTCGCTTTTCTCAGCAATCTTTTGGGAAATTAGTATGAAGATTGGTACGTTGTGAAAGAGAAGGGGGGGGGGGGGCTACCGAAACTGTTTTGAGAGAGTCATAACCAGCATTTCGCACAGCCCCATGAAGTATCCTGGCTACACAGAGCCCATCTGATGTATTTCGCCACTCGGCGCGGGAATAGCTGCTTATGATGTCGGCTCTTAGCAATTTAAAGTCAAAGCACAAATCGTTACCGATCTCGGCCGCAATTGAGTGAGAACAAATTCTACCTCTGATCATGACAAGCGCTGTTCAGCTTCGGGAGGGGGGGCACTTTGCACATTACAGCCTGGTTCTTGTACTGCTAGTTTCTTCTTTAACTAGCTGCTTTCGTTTTGCGGAGACCTGTGACCCTCGTGAAGCCACTCAAAATGGCATCCAGATAAGCAACTTCTGCTTGCAGGCACTCATGGTCTTTTCACGGTGGTCCCGTACAACCTTTAGACCGATTGTTGCCCCCACTAGGCCAACGACAGTTGACTGGAATGCATAAAAAAAAATATTTCAGCATTCTCATGCACACGTCCGACTAGATGCTGTACAACCGTTGGAGGTGTCCTCAATACGCCCGAATCTTTCAGCATGTAAGCATATTGGAAGGCTGGTGCGCAACTTACATAGTGTACAACCTGACTAAACCTTTGTACTTTTACGTTGATTCCTTGTTGTGTTTTTACTACGAGTTCCGTCTAAGCTACCGATTTTCTTTCTGATTAGTGTTTCCATTGTTTCTATAGGAAAGCGTTTCTGCTGTTGTTTGTGCAAGAATTTGTTCGAATGCTCATGGTACGGGTGTATTTCCATGTTTGTTTTTTGTCGAATTATCATCATATTCTTCGATTTGGTGTGACTATTTGATCCTAAGCAGTCTACATATCTGTTTTGTTGCAATGTGATTTTATTTGCTCAATTTGCGCTCTGGTAACTGCAAATGAAAACCTCATCAGCGCACCATTCCATTCCTAAAGCTCGTTGAGCACATGAAATAAAAGTTTCCACTAAACAGCTCAAGTGAATCTTGCATATTCTTTATCATGGAGTCTGTTTCGCTGCGGACGCTGGGCTGTGTCAGGGGGGCTGGGTCTGGCGTGGCGCCAGCCTGTTCTCCACAATCGGTAGGCGTCGCGCCAAACTCAGCCTTCCTGCTACACCCCATCATAGCCAACGATTAAGACTGTACTTCATTTCCACGCTATTTCTACGAATGTTCGCAGTTCGGTGGCATTCAGTACTGCAATAAAAAAAGTGATTGTGAGTCATAGGAATGAAGAGTCTCACATTGCTTTAGGAAGGGGGAGGCTGGTGAACAAGCTCCAGTGTGGATGATTCGATTCCTCAGTGCAGGAACGGTCGTCATTTCCAGTGGCTCACAGATCCATTAAGTCATTCCTGGCATCGTTCTCACTTCACAGATTATTTCTCGCAGTCTTGTTCGTTGCGGATGTTGAGCAGTGTCAGGTAGGCTTGGTTTGGCGCGGGGCCCAGCCTGTTCTCTACCGATTGTTGGAACAAAAAAAAGCAACAATAAGTGGTGGATGGCCCCGCACCACATCCAGCCGCTGACACGCCCCAGCATCTGCAGCGAATGTGACTATAGTCCCAACTACTATGGCCCTAGAAGAAATAAATCTATGGTCGCTACGCGGGCTACTCATTTACAGCGATTAGCTAAGAGTTGGCCACTCGCCGTCGATTGCAGCCGATCGTGGATTACTTACTCTTAAGGCCGCGTTTATACTTTGCGGCAGCGTAGCGCTTCCAGCGTT